TTTCATACACCACCTATAATGGACTGATGTCTGTCTCTTCACCTTGAGCAGTGTAGGTGCATCTGCACCATTTCCACCGAGAACTCAATGACTTGCTTCTGCATCCCTGCATTCGATTTCCAGCTTAAAAGTGGTTCTAAAGGTAGAAAGTTTTATTTTTCTAACACCTTCACTACTTCCCGTCCTGCCAGGCAGGAAAAGTGCCGATCTGAGAGGACGTACCTGTATGTTCTCCCTGTATTGTGCCTCATGTACGCTTCGGTCCTGTGGACACAGCAGATCACGACCTGAGTACTGAGTGGCGGTACTCTGCCCTGGTACAATGTGATTGCTGTGACCAATCGCAGTGATCACATGTCCAGTAGTAAATATGTCTGCCATTCATACAGACATTGAGAACTACTGTGATCTCTGATTGGTCACAGTGATCACATTGTACAGGGCCACACACTGCCTCGCGGCACAATGTGATAGCTGTAGCCAATCACCGCTACCACAGTAGTTCTCAATAGTTGCATGAATGCATCCGAGAACTTACAGAAATTATTGCTTACTCTGCCATCATGACCATTTTAAGCAATGATAGTGTAAAAAAAAAAAAATCCAATCACTTCCGTGGAGTAGTGCAGTGCTCCTATAACACTGCACTGCTCTGGTGACAGAATGTAAAAAAAAAAAAAACAACAATTTTAAATACAGTTGTGTTAAAAATAATAGCAGTCAGACATCACTAACCTGATCAATCACTGTTTTTGGTAGAAATGATATTACTACATGGCAAATAATTTACTAGCAGGTGTAGTAGAGTAATAGAAATACAACAGACCCAACAGTCATGACATGCATGCTGCTGATTCTGTGTAATTGAATCACTAATTGAAAGGGGCATGTTCAAAAAATAATAGCAGTGTGGAGTTCTATTAGTGAGGTCATTCATTCTTTGAAAAACAGATGGCAATTATTGCCCTTATTTAAGGAAGGAAGGCAGCAAATGTTGTACATGCTGGTTACAGTGCATTTCTCTCTGAAATTCTGAGGAAAATGGGTTGTTCCAGACATTGTTCAGCAGAACAGCGTACCTTGATTAAAAAGTTGATTGGAGAGGGGAAAACATATAAAGAAGTGCAGAAAATGATAGGCTGCTCAGCTAAAATGATCGCAAATGCTTTAAAATGGTAACCAAATCCTGAAAGACATGGAAGAAAGCAAAAAACTACCATTCAAATAGATAGAAGAATAGCCAAAATGGCAAGGACTCAGCCAACAATCAGCTCCAGGAAGATCAAAGAAGGTCTAAAGTTACCTGTGAGTACTGTTACAATTAGAAGACGCCTATGTGAAGCCAAGCTATCTGCAAGAAACCCCCGCAAAGTCCCACTGTTGAAAAAAAGACATGTGCTGAAGAGGTTACAATTTGCCAAAGAGCACATTGACTGGCCTAAAGAGAAATGGCGCAACATTTTGTGGACTGATGAAAATACGATTGGTTTTTTTGGGTCTAGTGGCCAGAGACAGTTTGTCAGACGACCCCCAAACACTGAATTCAAGCCACAGTACACTGTGAAGACAGTGAAGCATGGTTGCGCAAGCATCATGATATGGGGATGTTTCTCATACTACGGTGTTGGGCCTATTTATCGCATACCAGGGATCATGGATCAGTTTGAATACATCAGAATAATTGAATAGAGGTCATGCTGCCTTATGCTGAAGAGGAAATGCCCTTGAAATGGGTGTTCCAACAAGACAACGACCCCAAACACACCAGTAAACGTGCAACATCTTGGTTCCAGACCAACAAGATTGACGTTATGGAGTGGCCAGCCCAATCCCCGGATCTTAATCCAATAGAAAACTTGTGGGGTGACATCAAAAATGCAGTTTCTAAGGCAAAACCAAGAAATAGAGAAGAACTGTGGAATGTAGTCCAATCATCCTGGGCTGGAATACCTGTTCACAGGTGCCAGAATTTGGTTGACTCCATGCAACACAGATGTACAGCAGTTCTCAGAAACAGTGCTTATACAACTAAATATTCATTAAGTGATTCAAAGGAAAACAAAATCTTCAAACATTTTTCAGTTTATATAGTGAATGTTTGAGTTTATAAAGAAGAATACAAACACTGCTATATTTTTGAACAGTCTAATATTCACTTTTCTTCAATGTTGTTAGAGGAACAACACAAATTTGATATATTTTTCTTCGTGTTTTGATTTGGAATAGAATGTGTAGTGTTCCCAATGCATTTGTGTGTATGGAAATAAAAGCTATTAGAAGGATTTTGAGCTTTATTCACTTTTTTCAACACACTGCTATTATTTTGAACACAACTGTAAGTAGCAGGAGTGTTTGTATTAACAGGGATGTTGAAGTCACCGAGAATGTGGGGACTTCAGAAGAGAGAAAGTAGTGTAGCCAGGCAGGGAAGTCATCAAGAAAGACTGATACGGGTCCAGGGGGCCGGTAGATCAACACTGGAGATTGAGAAGTTTAGAAGTAGCAGAAGTGTTAGTATTAACAGGGATATTGAAATCACCAAGAATGATTGTGGGGATTTCAGGAGTAAAAAAGTAGTGTAGCCAGGCAGGGAAGTCATCAAGAAAGACTGATACCGATCCAGGGGGCCAGTAGATCACAGCTATCCGTAGAGAAACTCAGAGAAAAGAAGAATGCAATGTGTCTCAAATGAAAGTGACAGAGGGAGGTGGGTGAAGTACCTGAAAGGTGCTATGCGGGGCTAGGAGGATTCCTGCTCCCCCTCCCTTCCACCTACTGGGTCTGGGGGAGTGAGTCCAGAGAAGGCCACCATGAGAGAGGGCAGTAGGAGAAGTATTGTCAGATTCTTGAAGCCAGGATTCAGTAATGGCAAGTAGATTAAACGAGTTAGTGATAAAGAGGTTGTGGAGAGAAGTGAGTTTATTACACACAGAGTTTCAATCCAATGGGTGCAAGAGAAGGGGAGTCTGGTCTTGGGAAGAAGAGGAATGGAAACTAAATTGTGTGGATTGCTGCTGCTGCCGCCAGAGCGTGCAGGGTGATGGGTACAGTTAAATGATGGAGGCCCAGGGTTTTGGGATATATCCTCAGAGGTTAAGAGAAGCAGAACGATGATGGAGGTAATATGGGAGTGCAATTTGTATGAAGGGACAAGCCTCAGTCTCCTGGAGGTTTTATTAGCATGTGGATTTAGAATTAGCAGGAGTTGGTGAGTGCAGTAATAGGGAGAGGGCAGAAGTGAGGGTGATATATGTAAGCTGTGTGGTGGAGAAGAGGGGTGAAGGAAGAGAGATTTTCAGGAGAGAGGACACAACTGTCAGAAGAAGTGGTAGAAAGTGGTGATTGAATACTATCACTATCTAAAAACGTGCTAGAAGTTTCATTTGGGTACAGTGTTGCATGACTGAGCAATTGTCATTCAAAGTGTGACAGCACTGAAAGCGGACAATTGGCCTGGGCAGGAAGGGGGTGAAAGTGTCTGGTATTGAAGTAGATAATGTATCCTCTGCATTAAGTTAAAAACCTTCTGTGTGCAGCAACCGCCCCCCTTATACTTACCTTGTCCGATCTTGACGCAGCTCTGTGCCTAAGAGCAGCGTCTCCCTCTCTCTCCTCCCTTGACATGGAGGCAGCAGAGGGAGCCAACAAAGTGTAAAGGTTTCATTTTAAGTCTGCACCCAGGATCGATCATCCGTAGGTAATCACTGCATGAGCAATTATATGCAAACAGCTGTAAATGGCTGTGGCCCCTGTCAGGCTCCCATTGTTTTCAATGGAGCTTACCACCCACAGCTACTTGCAGGGAACTCTGCTGAGTCTCTCATGGATAACTGTAAACGGCCACATTCCCAACTGTTAATGGGGTCTAAGAGAGACTATCTCTGTGGGGGATAAAAAAAAACCCCAACAATTCTGCGCACAAGTCTTCAAAATCGAGCAGCATGCACCAAAAAGTAACCAATCAATATATCAATGTGTAAAGTACTGAACTGGCCAAGAAAATAAAAATATATATGCAGTGTACAGCAACTGAAAATGAAACACAAAACTGTGGTTTACATGTGCGATATTACAATGTATCATGAATAATGTCTAAAACAATTTGTGATAAAGTCCACACTATAGAGCTGAATAGCCTGTCACTAACAAGTGCAACCATAACTATGTAGCGATATACCACTGGCGATGTCGGTCATATATTCCAAATAAAACAACTAGAAATAGTATATATGTGATAAAGTCACAAAATAAGCTGCAAATATGCCATATTAATTGTGAAACAATTCAGCTAAGGTGACACCTCCACCAGCAATCAGCCCAGGGTGGGCTCTCACCTTATGGTTTGACCTCCATTGCAAAAGGTAAAAAAAAACATGATCAGAGATATCCAACTACTTCTCGAACACTCAAGATATCCAGGTTAACTCCATCTTGGACACTCCCAAAGATAATGAAGGCTCTCTCCCACTATTGGGTTAATCAACCACCGAAAATAAACTTCTCATCTCTACCACACTGTGAAGGAGATTTACTAAAACTGAACACTCAGCATCTGGTACAGCTGTGCATGGTAGCCAATCAGCTTCTAGTTTCAGCTTGTTCAATTAAACTTTGACAATAAAACCTAGAAGCGGTTTGGTTTCTAGGCAGCTCAACACTGCACCACATTTAGCACGCTCCAGTTTTAGTAAATCCCCCATACAGTTTTTCTCAACCTTATTTCAGTCGGGGTACCCTTTAAAATTCTGCACAATCTGAGGGCACTTCATTCAAAAAAGTAAAAACGAAATTAATAGTTTTTTACAGAATGTATCAACAGCCACACACGTAGGACACCTAGCATTGGAGTTGATTTATTCTTCCAAAGCAAATACACCTTTGTACACTGGTACTGACTAGTATACCAATGTTTCTCTCCTTTACTCAGCTAATATGACCCCAGTACTGACGGAGAGGGGCAGAGTAGGGGTAAACAAGATGCTGTGCATCTTCCTTATCAACCAATGATGTTATTGGTTGTTAGGATGCCAGCAGCTGGAGGGTTATAATGATGCTTTTGTGTAACTAAAAGGCAGGCTTGATCTACTGCTGGCTGCTAAGGCTAGGTTCACATCTGTGCGGGTGTTGCCGCTGTGGATCCGCACAAAAATCTGTGCAGCCGCACAGAGAAATGCAGACCCGCGGGCGGATACCATTAGTTCTAATGGCACACCCCAGGGGCGGACTGACAACGCATGGGGCCCCCGGGCAATAGGGGATCATGGGGCCCCTGTGTCCTTACCCAAACTAAAAAAAGCCTATGAAAAATGTACCAGGGGCATCTCATGGGGCCCCCTACTGACCCCAGGCCCTCAGGCAGTGCCAGAGTTTCCAAATGGTCAGTCCGCCCCTGGGCACGCTGCCTGCACTGGAAAACGCAACCGTACTGGGAACCGAAGTTCCTGTGTGGGCTGCGTTTTCCAAAGAAGTGCAGGGACTTCTTCCCTGCATGTCACGGGGCAAGGGAGTCCATTCAAATGAATGGGCTTTCATACCCGCACAGCCGCATATATGTGAACCAAGGCTTATACAATTTTACAGCATTTTGCCACGGCACCTCTGAAGAAACCTGAAGGCAACCTCAGGGTGTCTGGGCACCCTGGTTGAAAAAGGCTGCCCCCATGTGTGTACCAGAGGCTCAAAAGAAAATAATATTTGATAGTGCTTACTGCTAAAAAAAAAATATTTTATTGAAAAGCAGATAAAATATGCACTCACGTTGAATAGGTAGATGAAAGCATGAACAAACACTGTGTATAATGCAGCTCTGCAAGCGCAGAATCACTCTCCCAATGGTGACAGCTGCAATTTGTTTGGCACACGATTGTAATACAGTTTATCAAATATATATATATATATATATACACACACACACACACACATACACTGTATGTTAATCATACAGTACAGAATAAAGGACATTTTATTATGCCAATAACAATTATGGAGACTACCTCCAGGTGATTGTGCACACTCATAACCCCACCCATTCCATGAGACTCCAGTTTTTTGCTAGTGTCCCTTGATGATGGACCTTTACATATTTGTTTTTAACATGACTGCTTTTTGACCTGGGCTATCTAGCAGTTATACTAGGTTCGTACCTTGAGTACATACTTGGTCCCCACTATGTGGGGACAACCTGTAATGTTTGCTTTGGGCACTGGATCCTGCTTTGGGCACTCACTTGCCACATAGTTCTATGTGTGTAGTAAGCTGCAAGGTCCTATACAAGTCCAGAGCCATGGTTCCCTGACCCTGAAGAGCCCTCCCGGGGATGTGCCCACTATGATGGGTGAAGCCTGAACCTCTATAAGGCGCAACATCATTGATAAGGTATAACAGGGTTTCCCTCGGTCTTAGCATTAGTTCCTGGCTTTTAATAACACAATCCATAGGGTGTAGCACACTAAACAGTTTTATAAGCAGAGGATTTGGGAGTTATCAATTTTATTGTGATAACATTTTTTCTCCAATTTTTCTTGGTGTGAGCCTTTTAAATTTGGCATGCAAAGAATGAAGAAGGAGCACCGCACACCTCAGAAGATTAAAACTCCAGCTTATTTCAGCAAATTAAGATCCTGACCCAGCCTTATAATAGGCAACAATGTTAGAGTTAATGGTGAATGATGGCCCTAGATTTATTGCTGTCACTTTAACCTCCGCAGCAATACCTAATTTGCGTGGCATAATCTTTTTGTACAGGTGTGGTGGTGGGGAGTTCATTTAATTTTAGTAAACATTACCTTTTGAACTTACATTTGTTATCTTGCTATCACAAGGCTGATAAGCCCCCCAATGTGATAGCATATTGCAAGTGACAGGTTCGTTTTAAGGAGACATCAGGGGTATAATGTCGTCTGTGCACTATGTTAAGTTTTTTTGTTTTTGTTTTAGAGGACTGTGTTCCATTGAGGAGATTACACTGCATTTCCTGTCACAGAGAAACAGGAAAAAGTACATGTAAAAGAAGATATCTTCAAACCGATGGTATTGGACAATCGTCATCTGAACCAATAGTGAGGGTGAATCTTCCACACTGGGGAAAAAGGCAGAAATAAAAAACCCAACAGACATTCTAGATCAAACACAATCTATATGAAAATAAACATGACTTTCCATAACAATTTAAATACTGGACCGGTGTGACAATCATGAACAAGACCTGATGATACACGCAATACAGGCTTCTAACAGCAGATGGCAGTGATGAGCTGGGAACATAAATAATGCTGGCATACTCTATGGGGGCTATTTACTAAAACAGGAGAGTGCAAAATCTGGTGCAGCTCTGCATAGAAACCAATCAGCTTCCAGGTTTTATTGGCACAGCTGAAATGAACAAGCTGAAGTTAGCAGCTGATTGACTACCATGCACAGCTGCACCAGATTTTGAACGCTCCAGTTTTAGTACATCTCTCCCAATGTTTATTAAAACTAGACTAACTGTCTATAAGGCTAAGTTCATATATTAATCTCAAAAAGTCTCATTTCACATGTTACATGTTTCTGACTCCTTGCTATTCATAAAATTCTTTCATATGTGATCCACAATATATAGCAGTCTGTGCTCCACCGCAGTGCCCACCACTGCACTGCCCACCACCGCACACTTCAGCCTCTCACCTCCCAGTCTGACCCACACTCAAGTAAGGTCATAAGTGCTTTCCCAGCCACACTGGGTTGGAAATCTGCAGCAGTCCTTCAAACAGCCTCCAGTAACTCATCCATCCATGGTCGGATTCAAGATATATCACATCAAGGCAGGAAGAAAAACCAAAATCCCATGCTGTAGTAAATAAACACCCGCTTTAGGCCCAAGCCATTTCTGCCACTTTTTTAAAATGTATTTTGTGCTAGAAAACCTAGAGCCTTCAATCATATATATATGTTTTAAAATTGAGGCCCTAGAGCCGTGGTGGCGAACATATGGCTGGCATGCATGCTGCGGCGGGGCACGCGCAGCCCACGTTGCCGGCACGCGAGACAAGTCGCCCCACTACTGCCCTGCAGCCGAGCATCAGGTCCCACAGATGGCGCCGGCGATGACATCACGAGCCAGCTGTGGCTGTACAGTGGCAACTGCACATCTACACTTGTTCCTGTATGCAAGTAAACACTCAGGCTGTTACCAGTGGGTAATCTCACATCTGTCATTGATTTGTGCAGGCAAAAACATGCTTGGTTTTTCCTTTACAGTGTATGGTTCTCTGTGACTGTGTGAAAGTGTCTTTAGGCTAGGTTCACATCTGTGGGGGTGGTACAGCTGCGGATCCACACTAAAATCCGTGCATCCGCACCACCCGCACAGAGGAATGAGGACCCGTGGGTGGGTGCCTTTAGTTCTAATGGCACGCTGCTCGCACTGGAAAACGCAACCATACTGGGAGCCGAGGTTCCTGTGCAGGCTGCGTTTTCAGAAGAAGTGCAGGGACTTCTTCTCTGCGTGTCACGGGGCACTGGAGTCCATTCACATGAATAGCCTAGGCTCTTGTGCCCTTGCAAAACGCGGCCCACATATATGTGAACCAGGGGAACTGTTATCCAGGTCTCTATTTAAAAGATTTCCTCCCACCCTATGATAACAGTTTAATCAGACAGGTAGTGAGGGAAAATCAACAGCAAAACAGAGATAAATAGCTTTTCTGTAGCAGAGTAGGAGAAGACTACAACCATGGTGAGATTTATATTCCTGTCTGTGTCTCTGTTGTGGAATTTCCCTCACTTCCTGTCTGGGTTGCCACTGTGACAGCAAGGGATGAGCCTGAGCTATCCTGCTGGGAAGCTGTCAACATTGACAGCCAATCATAGGTGGTGGAGGCATTCTACGTCCTTGTCCCACAGACACAAGTATGCAAGGGGTCTGTATACATATATGGTTTGTTTAGATTGGGTACATTTATAGTGGAAGAAAATGAACTATAACTACTCTTAAAAACACCCACCAAACCCAAGTCACCCCACTACTGCCCTGCAGCCAAGCATCGGGTCCCACGCACGCGTGTTCACGGAACCAGCCAATAACGGCACGAGCCGCGACTACCTCCCTAGCCACTCGTGATTTTTTTATACATATTTAATGGAGACTGACATTCTTTTAATGTTGTGCTGTCCCCCTGGCATTTAAATCTGCAGGCATTAGTGGAATCTTGCCCCTCCGTGCCAGTGCTCAGTGGAACCTTGCCCCTCCGTGCCCATGCTCAGTGGAACCTTGCCCCTCCGTGCCCGTGCTCAGTGGAACCTTGCCCCTCCGTGCCCGTGCTCAGTGGAACCTTGCCCCTCTGTGCCAGTGGTGCGTTTTCAGAAGAAGTGAAGGGAATTCTTCCCTGCGTGTCACGGGGACACGGGAGTCCATTCAAATGAATAGGCTCTCATGCCCACGCAAAGCGCAGCCGCATATATGTGAACCAGGGGTTACTGTTATCCAGGTCTCTATTTAAAAGATTTCCTCCCACCCTATAACAGTTTAATCAGACAGGTAGTGAGAGAAAATCGACAGCAAAACAGAGAGAAATAGCTTTTCTGTAGCAGAGTAGGAGAAGACTACAACCCTGGTGAGATTTATATTCCTGTCTGAGTCTCAGTTGCAGAATTTCCCTCACTTCCTGTCTGGGTTGCCACTGTGACAACAAGGGATGAGACTGAGCTATCCTGCTGGGAAGCTGTCAAAATTGACAGCCAATCATAGGTTCACGAAGGTAAAAAAAAACTCAAGCCTTTACAACCACTTTAAAGTCATTTTTGCTGTGATAGTTGGGAAGACATTGCTATATCATCGGACAGGTCTGTTTTGTCTTGTTAGAGAATAGCCATTGTCATTCTCTGCTGTTCTTAAAAGTGTCACTCTGGTATCCATCAGTCGAACCTTCAAATTGATGACACCCTTCTCCTAACAGTTCCACACGTTTGTAAGAATACTTGTCCATTCCTAACCCTAGGTTCACACTTATGCAGATTTCAGGGAGTTTTCCAGTTTGCAGAAATGCACTACAGTTCATTTAACATGATTTCCTATGGATCTAGTTCACATCTGTGCATCCTGGGCCAGTGCGGATTTTTTTTTAAAAGGCTTGGGGACCTTTTTCTTCTGTGCTTTGCGTGTAATAGACTTCAAGGGCACCGCATCAAAGACGCAAGTATTGCATTTTTTTATGTGTTTTGTATGCATTTATGCAATTTGTGTGTTGTGTTCTTTGTGACTGTAAGCTGGTTGTTAAGGAGTGGGCAGCCACCAGCATCCTTAACAACCAGTTAACAATATGCCAGCAGCTACCTGCTCCTCAAAAACCACCTAAAGTCACACAAAGCACAAAATGCATTAAAAACAAGTATGAACAAACAAAATGCAGCCTGAAAATGCATCAAGCACAATCTACATGGATGCGAACCTAGCCTAATACCACAAAAAGGGACAGTGAATTGACATTTCCATTACCACTTGTGATATGTGGGGAAAAATGTGTCAAATCACCTAAATACCTCATGCAATATGCTTTAGTGAATGGAGGCCCCAAACACAGAAAAGTAAAAATGGTGTCACACAATGGGGGTGCAGTTTTTCAAAAATTATAAACAAGCTATTTAAAGTGCAAATATTGAATAGTGTGGTTTTTCTTTAAAGATACAATAAAATTGACCATGAGAATGATATCACTCTACAATGGTGGAGAAAGCACCCAAGATACAGTAAGTTGCTCTCTGTATTCCAGAAAAGTTGATATGAGAAACATTATTCTACATTTGCCATCATGAAGAATGTTGGTGTCAAATGTTAATGACAATCTCCTGAGTTTAAATAACTTTGGAAGTAGATTCATGAAAGGATTCCACTATATACATTTGCATTGGGTTTGCACAAGAGAAATTAAACCAAATAGCTACACAAATAGACTAAACAAATATTTGGCATTATTAGAAAATTATTAAAAACACAAAAACATAAAAATGACAACAATCCACTTTGCAAAATACATTAAATGTCAAAAAATTATTTGGCAATAGGTAATTATTAAAGGACTCCAGGCAAATGTAAAACGCTTAGCCTGAATATATAGACTACTCATTAAAAAAATGGACTAAACAGATTTTTTTGTAAAACCGCTTCTCTAAAACTGGCCATGCATTGCATGGGCTGAGTGACAGAATGGCATTCGATTCCCCCCTTGAAGCTCCCTTTCCGGCTATTGTATTTTGACCGCCAGCACTCATCTGATTGTCTGCAATCAAAGTTTGCCCAACTTTTTTCTGCCCAGCTCCTTCAATGTCTCAATCAAAGCTGGTCAAGACTGATGGTGTTAGCAGGACCACTCAAATTCGATCTGTGCATAGACAATAAGGCTAGGTTCACATATGTGCGGGTGGTGCGGCTGCGGATCTGCACGCAAATCCGTTCAGCCGTACCACCCACACAGAGGAATGCAGGCTCTAATATTCTAATGGCACGTCGCCCACACTGGAAAACGCAACCATACTGGGAACAGAGTTTCCCGTGCAGGCTGTGTTTTCAGAAGTGCAGGGACTTCTCTGCGTGTCACGGGGCACGGGAGTCCATTCAAATGAATGGGCTCTCGTGCTCGCGCAAAACACGGCCCTCACGGCTGCATATATGTGAACCAGGGGTAAAAAGGGCCCTTTATACAGGTGCCCGAAGCATTTAGGTGTTTGAATGGCATTCTGGCTGTGATCAAGCTACTCTCCCTGTGTCTTCCTATTGATAGAAATCAAGAAGATACAGCCTGAATGATTAATAGTCTGAGTCGACTGCCTTTTATTGGCTTTAAACTGGTTTTAGAATGCAATACCCACTCTAAGCATGTCAGCAAAAGATAACAAGGTCAAATGGACCTGTCAAATTCTGAATGATCCCTAAAGCATCTCATATGGATGCCAGTGTCAACACTCGCTTTTAACTTTATCCTGCATTACTGCAACTTATTATTCTTATTGGAAGGACTTTTTTGGGGGTTTGGGGTTACCTTCCTGGTGAATGTTCCCTTGTCTGTGTTTGCTTTCAAAACCAGTAATTATTCAGTATATACCACCATAACTCTTTAGAGATTCACTAAATTCTTCTTAATTTTGAATTACTGGCCCACCAACTGATTTTAACCCCAGGCTCATTGTAGGATGGCCTACATCGCAGCTGAAGAGAGAAAAGAGGTAGGTAGCAGGAGTGAAGAACAAACTCCCATCTACAGTGTCTAGGTTTTTCAGGCACTGGAATGTCCCCCAGCACACGGACGTCAGTCATTTATTAAAGAGGTGGAGCCATGACATCGGTAAACAAGCTTTAGGTACAAACAAAAAGGGTCATGCTCTTCGAGCTTAAGCAGTGTATAGCAATGGAACACCAAGACCACCAATAACTGGCTGCACCGAAAAAAAAAAAAAAAGATTTTTTTTTTCAGTTTTTTTTTTTTTTTTTAAAAAGATCTTTGGTTTTTTTGACAGGTGTAGCCACGCAATAAAGTTTCACTGGTCAAGGCAAAATTCCAAGGGGCTGCTGAATGCTGTACAGCAATTCTTGTATGGTCCTTTGTTGAACATGGGTCCTTTAGAAGATCCTTTTGCCTGAAATGTCAGTAAACCAAACCAGCTGCAGTAAATGGGCACAGATAGTTCCATCTAGCATTCACAGCTAGAGGTTTCCAGTCTTATAGCTCCGTCTAGTGATCACAGCTAGTGGTTTCCAGTCTTATAGCTCCGTCTAGTGATCGCAGCTAGAGGTTTCCAGTTATACAGTTCCATCTAGCGATCACAGCTAGTGGTTTCCAGTCCTGTAGTTCCATCTAGCGATCACAGTTAGAGGTTTCCAGTCTTATAGTTCTGTTTAGCGATCACAGCTAGAGGTTTCCAGTTATACAGTTCCATCTAGCGATCACAGCTAGTGGTTTCCAGTCTTATAGTTCCATCTAGCGATCACAGCTAGTGGTTTCCAGTCTTATAGTTCCATCTAGTGATCACAGCTAGAGGTTTCCAGTTATACAGTTCCATCTAGGCGATCACAGCTAGTGGTTTCCAGTCTTACAGCTCGTCATCTGAAATAATAAGCATCATTTTCTCATTCTGCTTCTTTTTCTTGCTCGAGTGTCCATTGGTCTTTGGGGTGTTCCCGTTTTGTTTCCTGTGATTTTTGCTGAGAGTCCTGCATGGATTGCTGGGTGTATTGCTGGTATGTGGGGGAGAAGTTGTGGATTGCATCTTGGACAATGTCATGTGGGCTCATCGTCTCTTTCAAGCCACTTGAGATGCTCTGCATAGGTGCCACAGTTGCTGTAAAGAGAAGAAAAAAATGTTTAGTGCTTGATACGAATTATACACATTTTTATGGATTTTTGTCATGGTAAACAATACCTGTTTAAAAGCCTCTGATAAATGCAGCCACTTCCAGTTTATGGACAACTGACTAGTTCCAGGCAGTGAAGCTGAACCTATTTGTCACTGCCCCAGAACGAATATGCAGCCAAGAAGTCAAGAGA